TTCTGGTATAACTTCCTATTCTGTGTATTAAATTCTTTATGAAATATGCTGCCAGTAGCTTTGCACATCTGCAATGTCAATTGATGTTTCCAGACATGATGTTATATAGGTTAGGATTATCATGTTATAGTTATCTTCATATAGTCTAGGACCTGTATATGAGTTTGTATGCGATTCATTTAGGACAGGTAATCTCAACTGTTTTAGGGTAAAATGACCATGGTGGTCAACATGGCATATGTGCGAAAACCTGAATCCGGGGCGAAAGTCCTGAAAATGACCCGCCCTGAAATGGCAGTGTTCACATAGCTCTAACTTCAGAAAAGGAAAAGCGATAGCCTTTCTGAAGTGCTTATAGTGTTTAGAAGGGTTGCTTTTAGGGGTGGTCATTGGAAGGAAAAATTTGTCGAAGTATAATATTTTACCAGAAAATGACTATGCACCACCCAGGTAAATTGCTGATTATGCACAAAATAACTAATATGCCTGGCAGAAATGAAATATTCTTATTTCCTAAAAAAAATTATCACGGGATGAAAAACTATGCTTAATTTAATATAAATATTGTTGATTTCATAAGGATTGTCATTGTTTTCTTTAAATTTAATACATTTTATTTCACTTACCCCCCACGAAAACACGATTTCAGCCATATTTTGCCGTCTTGTTTGCTTTTTATCGCCGAATCCCGCAAATATCATCCAGTTATTGTACTTTTGCATAATCATAAATGGCTGAAGAAGATTTGAAAGAAGGTTTCATCCACTTTTGTAACGGTGCAGTGTATTTTACCTTCGATATTGTGTCCTTCGATATTCCGCCAAATTGCCGCCATTTTAATGGCTCGCCGCTTCTCTGCCTGATAAATGCAACTTCTTCGTTTCCATATGTATTTAGATTACAGTATCCAAGAGTACTTCATTGTAGAATGGTCCCAATCCAAAAAGTGGCAACATTGTCCCATTAGGAAGGAAAAATCCCCCGTACCATTTAGGTTCAAAATAAAAAACAAATCATTTGAAAGTCGCGAAAACTTCTCGTGGACACATGACAGGGGGGTGAATATTTTCACGAATATGTCGCCACCACAGAAACATAACTAAATATATTGTATTTATTGTATTTTTATGATTTATGACAAAACTATGCAAATATTCATTGTTTTTATTATAAATCATAAAAATACAATAAATACAATATATTTAGTTATGTTTCTGTGGTGGCGAACATATTCGTGAAAATATTCAACCCCCCCTGTCATGTGTCCACGAGAAGTTTTCGCGAAGATTGCGCATGACTTTCAAATGATTTGTTTTTTATTTTGAACCTAAATGGCCTACGGGAGGATTTTCCCTTCCTAATGGGACAAATGTTGCCAATTTTTGGATTGGGACTATCTACAATGAAGTACTCTTGGATACTGTAATCTAAATACATATGGAAACGAAGATTTATATTAAATTAAGCATAGTTTTTCACCCCATGATAATTTTTTTTAGGAAATAAGAATATTTAATTTCTGCCAGGCATATTAGTTATTTTGTGCATAATCAGCGATTTACCTGGGTGGTGCATAGTCATTTTCTGGTAAAATATTATACTTAGACAAATTTTCCCTTCCAATGACCACCCCTAAAAGCAACCCTTCTAAACACTATAAGCACTTCAGAAAGGCTATCGCTTTTCCTTTTCGGAAGTTAGAGCTATGTCGACACTGCCATTTCAGGGCGGTCATTTTCAGGACTTTCGCCCGGATTCAGGTTTTCGCACATATGCCATGTTGACCGCCATGGTCATTTTACCCTAAAACAGTTGAGATTACCTGTCCTAAATGAATCGCATACAAACTCATACAAGTCCTAGACTATTGTTGAAAATATTCAGTGATAAAGATGATTGCCACAGCTTTGTAGAAAGCATGTTTTAGTTGTTTTAGCAGCCCAATTGGGATACGTAGTAGGTCTTGTACACCTATAAACACAGTGCATAACAAAGTCTGTGACCTCTTTGTTTATCTTTCAGTTGTTTTCAAACTTTTCATCAATGGAAGTATACCCAGGTTTTCTTTGCCCTGCAGGTTATTTCTTGGCATTTCCTATTATATGCAGCTGTAGCATAAGTGTTGGTATTCTGTGATGCCATCTTACCAATTCTGCAGTTTTATATGGCTAATAATAAACAATGAACTGATTAAATACCTGCTAACAGTCTTAACACATGGTATGGTTTTATTTATTTCACTCTTATAAAAGACACTTAAATAAACAGATCACACAGAATTGATGTTCAATAAAATTTATTTCTGTCAAAGTACAAAAAATGTCAACATTACTCTAATAATGCTACATGAAAGGTGAATGATAAAAATACACTGTATACGAATAGTGATGCTTTTTTCTCTTAATGACGTACATTAAATATTCTTGAGGAATTATATTTCTTTGTAAACCTATAAAATTGTAATCATTTGTGTTTGAACCTCACTGCAAAATAACCACACCAAAATGGCCACACTTAGTACAGTAAAATGTGGAAACATGTATGCGTTTAAGTTCTTTGAATGTTTGCATGGCGATAAAATATATTGTTTTTGTTTGTGGAAACACAATGTAAATTTATTACTGCAAAGCTTTCGAGCCGTAAGCCCGGATCTTCATCAGTGCTAATAATATCTCATCAACCGAGCGAAAACAATTTGTGAGGTAAGTAACATTGACGATGAATTAGAACATTTAAGAAATGTTCTAAAAATGAATAGTTACCCACGGCATTTCATAGATAATGCTATGAAAACGCCACAAGGTATACAGCAGAAGATTGAATATCAGTCGTCTGTTAGTCTGCCATACATTGGGGAGGAATGAAGCAGGTAAGGTATACCATTCCAGCGAAAACAAATTGTTTCGAGCTCTTTGCACACATAAGGACAACGTAAATGAATCTCAGAAACCTGGTGTGTACCGCATTCCTTGTGAATGCTGTCTGGTTTACATTGGTGAAACTGGTCGAAATCTCTCAGTACGTCTTAAGGAACACAAGACGAATTGCGAGAAAGCCGATATTATTAGCACTGATGAAGATCCGGGCTTACGGATCGAAAGCTTTGCAGTAATAAATTTACGTGGTGTTTCCACAAACAAAAAACAATTATATTTTATCGCCATGCAAACATTCAAAGAACTTATTACGTTGGAATAACTGTAAGCTGTAAGCAAATTTTACGCTTTAGTCGATTTGACATCAAAGTACGCCTGGGTTAAATGTATACCGTATGCCGAGCGCAAGGTTGATAAAATGTCGCCCCAGCCTTGAAACCTTGGGACCATTAATAATAATTATACATTTAATAAATAATATTTTTGAACGGTTAAATATTCAAAATATATAGGACATTCAGAGATTTGGCGGCCTGTGGATTACCTATACAAATTTACGTGATAAATTTAATAATTTTACAGAATAAATTTAATAAATTTACTGCAGTAATAAATTAGGTGGTGTTTCCACAAACAATAGTATATGTTTTATCGCCCTACAAAGAACTCATATTCTAACAGTCTGCATTTACAGTCTAAATCGTTCTTACCATGACATTTTTTACTTTAAGCACTGGGCAAACTAGGGAACATTGTTGCGGAAACATTGTTTCCTGCCAATGTTTCGCCATGTTCCCAGAGTCGGCACTAGGGAACATTAAGTAAACACTAGGAAACTCTCTCCTCCGCAGAGGCTTTAGTTTTCTTAGGATTTAATATTACGATGAGATACATTTCACCACACTTTACATGGCGGATCTTGGAACACGAGCGTAGCTAGCCGCTGGGCGAAGCTGGGAGCGCAGAAACGTAAGTGAGAAACATAGGGAAACATTAGTATGACACATAGGGAAACATCAAATGTTTCTAAATTTTCTAGGAAACATTTTTGATTCTTGGGAAGCAAATTTTGTTTCTGCAACAAGGTTTCTACGGGTGGCCAAACAGGGAAACATATGAAGAAACATCGATAATCACAAGTGTTTCCACAGCGATGTTTCCTAGTTTGCCCAGGGCTTTAGTTTGAATAATTTCGACTCTATAAGTGCCTGAAATATTAGCCAGCTTCGCAAAAGCAATGTTGGCTATTAGCGATCCAGCTCGGAAGGAACCAATGTTTGAAGTCCGAAGTATCAAGTCCGAAGTCTGAAGCCCTTTACAGCTCCGTAGAAAGTGATCTACCTGAGTTAAATATGGTGAAATTTTTCTATACTTGTACGATTAAATCGTGGCTAAAATATTCGGCACTATATAGGCCCAGTACGAAGCTTCTCAAGATAAAAATAATACGTATTACGATTTATTACGATATTATTTCATATTAACAGTGTATTGCCTATAGTAGCTGATCCTCTTGCTTCAAATATCGTCTTTGCGAACATTTTGCGAGGCGCGAGATGCCTTTCTCGGACGTCTACGACTTGTCCTTCTTTGAATAGATGGCAGCAGGTCGAAAAATATACGAAAATATCAAAAACAACGAAAATTCACTGCAAACACTAAAAAAACCTATGAATTTTTTGGCAAAAACTGAGGGTGAGAACGGTAGGGGTCTGGAATTAGCCTGGTCAGTGGTATTTCCATGGCCAAAGGGAACTAGTTGTCAAGGCTAGGAAATGGAATCAAAATCCGCCATGTATTTGGCTTCACTCTTTCGTACCGAGCACTTCCTCCAATAATCTTATAGCTCAGTGAGCATAACTATAAAAATAAACTATTCTATTGCTTGTCCATTTGACAAATTTCTGATATTCTGATACACTGATGAACATTTAATAAAAATTTGGTAAAATAAAAAATTGGACATTTAAGCGCACAGTAGCGATTGTCCACAGAGAGCAACAACAGCTGTCTTGTAACCTTAAACCATCCTTTGAGAATCATTGCTTCTTTTATCTGATTCTCACTGGAAATGTACCAAACAACGTATCTTTATCGTTACAATTTTTTATTTTGGGTAGATAAAAAATAACAAAAGCCCGTGATAAGATCCGACATGATTTTCGTTGATTGAGAATGTCAATTTCGTTTATTTCGTAAGTTAGCTTTTATGTACTATTTAAACTACGTGGTAGAAAGGGTGCCGAATGAATCTCTATCAGAAATAAAGATATGAGTTTTTGAATTCGTAACAAACAACATTGAAAAACTAGCACAGTTTTGGAAAATTAAGACGTACCTTAAAGTAGCCAATATACACCGTTCCAGATTTGATATAATAGAGGCTGTGACCAGGTATTCCTTTCGTTAATTTCGGAGACTCACGCATTACACCATCGAGGTAGAAGCTCAACTTAGCGTCGGGAAGAAGTACAATCGTTGCGACATGCCAATTGTTGTCATTTACAGGATATGACAGAGGGAAGGTAAAGTTGTATCTGGATAATGAGAAGGAGTTTATACATTCACAATAATAACAAACCTTTCGTTGGTAGGAAAGCAACCCCCTGAAAAATATAGGGAGATTCGACCTTTCGAGCAAAGGTCCTTCGTCTGGAAGTTGGTAGCGGGGGTCGGAAAAATTACATGAGCTTTTATAGTAAGAATATAAAAGCGATCACGTGCCAAAAAATAAATGTAGATTTAGTCAAAACAAAGTATAAACAAAAAAATGTAAATCACATAACAGAATATTTTAACACAAACACAGAGAAAATTACAACAAAGCTTAATATATATATAGCAAAGTAAAGCAAAGCAAAGTAAAGTAAAGTAAAGTAAAATGAGGTAGAACAAGGTGGGGTGGAGTGGAGTAGGGTGAAATAAAATATGAAATGTGAAATGTGAAATATGATTAGATTAGATTAGAAATTTATTATCTTTCCCACAGAAAGATGAAATATGAAATGTGAAATGTTATTATCTTTCCCACAGAAATATGAAATACGAAATGTGAAATATAAAATGTGAAATGCGAATTGTGAAATGCGAAATGCGAAATGTGAAATATGAAATGTGAAATAGGAAATAGGAAATGTGAAATATGAAATATGATGCATGAAATTGGAAATATGAAATGTGAAATATGAAATGTGAAATAGGAAATGTGAAATAGGGAATATATGTGAAAATGAAGTAAACAATCACGTAAACATCCGAATCTGCATATATAATGAGCTGCACAATAAATAGCTTGATAGCAAGGTCAGAAATTTATACGCATTTTTAAGTGCTTAAAACATTTTAATAATAATAATAATAATAATAATAATAATAATAATAATAATAATAATAATAATAATAATAATAATAATAATAATAATAGTAATAATAATAATAATAATAATAATAATAATAATGGAAACTTTATTAAATGTTTTTCTTTACATACATATACAATCGTAAATCTCTCTCATAAAGGTAACTTACGGTTGGCTATTTGAATCACAATTATGCTAAACTAAAATAACAGAACAAAGTGCATGCAATATAGATATACAATGAGATAAGTCAAATTGTTAGTAAATCCGGATTTTCCCATTCCTTATTTCGGCAGCAAAAAATGTAATATGTAGTTCTAATAGCAATAGTCATCATTTTCCTAACGCAGTACATTTGGTGGTTTTTGTCAAGACCAATGCTTTCTAACATGTCTAAAAATGTATGACATTCTTCTGCAAAATTACCTAAAGAGCTGATGGAGAGATTTATAAATTTAACTTGGTTAAAATTTTTACCTAGCTGTCTCCATAATTCTCTATATTTATCCTTCTTCCGTTTTACGTTGTTTTTGAGGTTTGTCTCATAACCAGTGGTGAGTTCAACCACATATAAGGAACCATTTGAGCACGATAATAACAAATCTGGGCGATACGTATCACCAGTAAGTATTGAAGGGCTTTTGAATCCATTTAGATCAGCGTAGAGAGTAGAACCGTCAACAGTTTGTTAAGTATGAGCAAGAAAGTTCAGGACTGAATTGTGTCTCCACGTAAATCGGTCGAGATAAAACTGACATCCAGCTACTATGTGTAGTAATGTTTCAGGGCTAAGACAAAAAGAACAGGAATTTGAAGATATTGCCCATCTGTCTATGTTTTTGCGCGTCGGAAGAGAGTTGTTAATGTAACGAATGGTAAAGTTGTAAATGTTTTTCGGGAGCTTTGATTGGGCGATGGACCACACCTTGTTAAGCTGAGCTAAAGCGAACTTCTTGACGCTGCAGAAAAAGGATCCTTGACTGGTTAATTGGTTTAGGAGTTTGTTTTCGTGTCCAGAACGGAAATCTTTGAGAACTTCCTTAGTAGAGTTATAAGCGTCATATTGGGTATTAGTATGGTTACTGGTTGCTTTCCACAGGTCGTTACTTGATTCATTAGGAGAAGATTTTAAAGCTTTTCGGAGGACTGTTTGACACTGGATAAATTTTACAGATGGAGGATAAATACTCAGGCCAAATTTGTTATTTGTTAGAAAGACAGTACTTAGTGTTCCTGATATTGGTACTTCAAGCCATCTGCGGATATATTTGTTGGCAATAGAATCGATATTTTCAGTAATAATAATGCCATCTGCGGATATATTTGTTGGCAATAGAATCGATATTTTCAGTAATAATAATAATAATAATAATAATAATAATAATAATAATTTTTTTAAACCATTTACAAATCAATTACATAGCCTGACCTATATAGTCATACATTTATGAGTCCAGACCAAATTTTCCCTAACTACACTTAATAAATAAGACAACAGTTCTCTGAATAAGCAGGTCCGTTATCTACACTGTCACACATTAGTAGCTAATAGAAGTTGAGCTTTTCAGGGCAAGACCAGTTCTTATTTCTCTTACAAAATATGTAGAAAGTGGCACGAAGTGCAACCTCCATTCATTTTGTTATGATACGATCGTCTTGCAAATTTAACAACCTACATAGCCTACGAAATTGGCCTATACTCTTCGTGACGAAGCCTAGAGTAGTGACTTCCAAAGTTATAACTTTAAATCTATCACACGGTACGAGTAACTGTGATCGCAATGTCCGATATTTTTCTTGTTTACGTCGTCTTGCAATCATGCAGTTCGTTTCATATGGGACAGTCAATTCAATCACATACAAATCTCTTTTATAACGAATCGTAATATCTGGCCTTAACGCTTGAAACAGATTGGACGTACATTTCAAGCCAGAGTCTGGACAATCGGCAAAAATCTCCAGGTCTTCCGACATCACTTTCCTTAAGTGATGAAGAATGGTGTTTAATATAGAATCATGCCTCCACGTATACCGATGTTGTTGTAACGCTACAGGGCAATATGAAAGAACATCATAATAATAATAATAATAATAATAATAATAATAATAATAATAATAATAATAATAATAATAATAATAATAATAATAATAATAATAATAAAATCTTTATTTAATCTGCAAAGTTGTGTCAGCTGACAATACGATGACCGCTGGTATTTGCTGGGCTGCATGCCCATATAATTCTGTGTCCATATAAAGCGCACGGCTTGCGCCAGATGTTTCCTATCTATTTTTTATCATGCATGCAGTTCCACTTACACATAATTTTTCCATAGTTCCACAAAGAAAGTGTTCCGAACACGCCATACCGTAAGTCTTTCAGTGTGTGACGATTTGTCTGGAGTATAGTGCAGAAAGTACGAGGTATTTTGCTCGGTGGTCTTGAACAAAAAATTCAAGGTAAATGCGAAGCATTGCCGATCAGGCGTCGACGCGTAAGGATAATCAGCTGTACCATTAAGATCAAACTGATAACTTCTTGTAACTAGAAGAAAATAAATCGGTAATTGAGTTATATTCATCACGGTATTTACATGAGGCCCTTTCAAGGTTTATCCCGCCATGCATATTGCCTGGGCTGCAAAAACATTGGGCGAGCGAGCGCCCAGTCATGGCTACATGGACATTTTGTTAATTTTCTCATGCTATATTAAAAGATAGTCCAAATTTTTGTATTCTGGCTGATCTGTGTGTATTTTCAAACATTTGGTAAAGATTTCAATGGAATCTGATTGGGGGAAATCCGTAAAGTATGCTGATTTCTTCGACACCTTTCGGTGAGCCGTTTACATTGGAATCACGACCACAAAACGCCGAAAACAGGGCTTTATACGTCTCGCAATACGTCTTCAAAAAACAATCAAATTGTAGGCAGCATTTTTTGATGAAAACATTCTATTTGCTATTTAATTACTACGTCTTCAAAAAAAAATTAAATTAAGCAGCATTTTTTTATGAAAACATTCTATTTGCATATTATCCTGTTAGGTTAATTAAAGTTAAGTTAATTAAAGACGAGACGTTAACTTCCTAATAAATAGGCTATTTTAAACTATATTTTTGTTATGGCTCTTTTACGTATTTTCTACTGGGAATTAATATTTATCCTAAGATTATCCACGCATCTACAGTGATATTATATCTTATATTTGTGTTGTAGTTAATTTCCACTTTATCGTTCCTCTGTTACTCTGAAAATCCTCTCTGCTTTGACTGTAAAATAAAATAATATATTATAGTTAACTATAAACCTTCACTATAGGTCCCTAAAACAAAAAGCCTGACAAGGTATCTTGGAATTAATATAAGGAAAAATGTCATGTAAATATTGTCTATGGAACTGTACATAGGGGATAAAAATTAAAACAAAATAAATGAATAATAAAGAGACACTTTCATTGCTAATATTTCTGTGCTCAGGTTTCCTGTGGTCAAAGTTTTTACTCAATGTTTAATCAAGGCCAGGATTTTGGTCTAAAAGTTAAATTTTTAACCTTGCTTGGATTTACCTCTTTTCGTGTCCCTTTGTTCCATCGTTGACGAACACTGGTACACGCTGGCAGGAGAAATATATTGCTTGTTGCAAGCATAGTCAATTTTATAGAGGACTGCAAGTACATGATTACTGTTCTAGCTGTGCAAGGACACACATCCAAACTTGTATATGTGAGTCATCACAAATCTTCCACAATCCTCCCTGTGAGTCATCACAAATCCATCACAAATCAGATGCATGATATACTGAGCTTTACAAAACAATGTCATGGTCTTGTCAATGGGGCATTTGGCAACATGAATTATATCACCAAATCCACTTATCCAATATGAGTGGGCCGTCTCATCTTTGTATTTTGCCAATATATTCAACATCCACTGCCTTTACTCGTAGAATTATAATGTAGTATTCTATCATCAAGATTAGATGTGACCATGTTTGAATCTCATCTTTCCAATATTCATCGCACAGAGTGTTAGGATCGCTCTTAAATTTCTTCTAAATACTGTCAAAAATTTGTTCCTGTGCGAATTTCTTTGAAGCTCCCAATTCATACGCTCCAAATGCTCTTGCGACAAGTTCAACCTTTTCCCCACTCTGTCAACCAAACAAAAATCCTCTTAATTTAAGCTTCTCCTTTGTAGCCATAAACAGCCAAAGTAAAATGACTATTTGAAATATAATGCCCAATGAGAACAAGAAATATAAACAATTTAAATTATCAATATCTCTCAATATTATATACCCTTTGGATTCGCTTTCTTTTTTAAGTTTATCTCTTATATATCTAATAGTATGTCATATAAAGGTGAGATCGACATCTTTAAACCTAATAAAACACTTCTGCTCGTTTATTAAACAGTACATAAGCTTCAATTAAATGTAAAATTCAACCATAAACGCTTCGCAAAACGTTTTAAAATGTTCTTTATAGAACTAAACTGCCTTTATCGATAAACTTTGAGTTTGAAATATTAAAATGATTTCAAATTCTCGTATGCAAATAACTTTGCTTTCTTTTTATTTAAAAATTTGAATATAAAAAATAGATAATCAATAAAGATACACTGAAATTATGTATGTTTTTTTGTGCACAAGCAAATAATACATCAATATTTAAAGTGCACATGACATGAATATTTCTCCCCAATTTTTGAGCATCCCTTAAAAGTACCTTGAAAACGATGAAGAATGGCCTTAACTATTTATTTACAGCTCATCTCATTCCATCGGGAATTTTGTATTTTTGTGTTATAATGGGGGAGGTTAAAATTTCGAAGCAACACCACATATGAATTTTTTATTACAAGAGCAAATAAAACTTATCCAGTCTTTCAAAATGGGCAGACGTTACCACCCACAAGTGATGGGATTTGCTCTTTCTATTCACAGCAAATCTCCATCTGCATATAGAGAATTGCCAGACATCTGAAGATGATGATCTTATTGCTACTGGTGCCTTGGCATTTCTTGTGAGGGGATTTTGCGCTGATTTGAAGCATACATTGCATATTTCTTCACAGGAAATGTCACGTCATTCCAGATAATGCCTCTTTTCTGGAGAATTGTAGCTGTTTTGGAAGTGTCACTAAATCTTCATGTGTGTGCTGCCGTGAATGATGGTGCCTCGCCCAACCGAAAGTTTTTTCGTCTGCATTCCAAGTTCGCCAAAGAAGTAGATTGCGATGTTGTGTATAAAAACACCAAATATTTACAGTATGCACCATCACGATTCATTTTCTTTTTTGCAGAAAGTCGAAGTCGCCTCATGTGGAATGATGGGAAGTATGTGCTATTTCGACATATCGCATGCAGACCTGTTCCACAACGACAAAGAATTTGCACTATACATACCCTACCGAAGCTGAGTTAGCAATCATTTATTGATAGAAGAGTGATAGTTTTAGGCAATTTTTCATTTGTAAGAATATTCTAAAAAATTGTCGTGTTACCTTGACAACTACTTTAGATACTTTATGTTCGGAAAATGCAATGGTTTTGTCAGCAAGGCGAGGGTTTCTGCATGCATGTATTTTCTAGTTATTTTAATTTATGTGAGATAATACGGCATTTTGATTGGTCGCCAGGTTTATTCCGCGGATCGGACCAAAAAAAGTTGAAAATATTTCAACTTTTTATTATCTGGCCATCAACCTCGCCGGTGTTACAGGAGATTCGCCCCCCCCCAGGAGATTCGCCCCCCTCTCAAAAGGGGGGCGATATTCCTAGGATATTCGCTCCCCGGGGCGAATCTCCTAGGAATATCGCCCCGCAGGGGGCGTCTCTGGGAAAGTGAAGTTGCCTCTGGGAAAGTGAAGTTGATTTGGTTAAATTTTGAATATTTACGCTTTATTTTGCTGGATTATTTGTAAAATTGAGAGGAATTTTGCAATATATTTTGAGCACGCAAGTTGACGGTTGATTTTGGCGTGTGCATATGGGCTACGTGATTCAAGAAACGTTATTACAAACTGCGTTTGATTCCAGCGCGTGCGGCAAACAAACAACGTACGTGAGCAAACGATCATATACGTCATTACACGTGCTATAACGGTAATCTATTAGAACAATCATAAGAACATTTGGTGATTTAATTAGAA